GTGTGTGTGTGTGTGTGTGTGTGTGTGTGTGTGTGTGTGTGTGTGTGTGTGTGTGTGTGTGTGTGTGTGTGTGTGTGCGCGCGCGCGCGCGCGCGTGCGAGAGTGCGTGCGTGCGTGCGTGCGTGCGTGCGTGCGTGCGTGCGTGTTTGTACTTTATGCAACCGGCGCGAGCGCGTCGCACCTGGAGCGGCGCATGCGCTGGATTGGTTGGCATCCAAGGGGGGCGCCTCGGGCGCCTTTTTCGTGGCCGAGGCGGCGCACAACACCCTATACCAGGGCCCACCAGCGATGGCGGGTGTGCACCAGCAGGGTGGGAGGGTGGGACTTTTGCATGCCTGGGACCGTGTGCTAGCAAACCGGGCTGCACGGGCCGTCCAGCAGGGTGTGGGTGCTTGCGCGGAGTGTGAGGCTTGCTTTGCAGCTGGCGATGATGGGGTGCTTCAGGCCGGCTTCCCACCTCGCATGCGCCAGCCCTGCATTAGAACATACACTCCCACCCATTCCCCCCCTTCCGACGGCCTGGACCTTGATGAACCGGCTGAACATTTTCTGCTCGATTGCCCTGCCCACGCAGACCTGCTGGCCGCGCTTCGCACCCTTGCACGCGGATTTGCCTGTGCATGCCCGCATGCACGCCTGTGTGTGCAGTGCAGGCCAGCACACACTTTGGGCCTTCGTGCACGCCTGCTTTCAACGGCGAACGGTGGCCACTTGAATCCCAGTCACATGATGCTGATGCTACGAAGTCACATCCCATGAGCCTGGATGGCTCCAGGAGCGGGCGACCGCGGGGTCTTGTAACAATTCCAGCCCTAATTCTACGCGACAACGAGGGCAAAGCACCTCGAACACGCACCAGGGTGGTGGGCGCGAGCGCACACTCCCGCCACAAGAGTACGAAGCAGGCTGCACTTGTAGCCTGGGGGCCGTGCGGCATCAGAAAGCGATGCACACAAAGAACTTGGTGAGCGAGCAGATGATGGGGCCAACATTTATCCAACTGCTCAGGGATGAAATTGTCAACCCAACATTACCACCAACTACATTGCTGGATGAGGTGAACCCCCCGCAGGCGGGGCCGACAAAATTGCCGGAAACATCAGTGCCCGACCACCATTGGTCCAAATCATTGAACACGCCCGCCTGGACCAAAGTCTGCTGCAGGACACCCCCCAGCAGGGTCGTGAAGTTGCTGGCCAGGACGGCACCGCTCGCTGACTCGATGGGCAGGCCGGTGGGAACCTTGTACAAGGCGGGGAACGCAGAAATCTGGTCGGTTGGAGACATTGACAGGAAAGCACGCACCCGCACAAGCCCGGCGGGCCTCAAAACCGAGGCGCTGCACAGGGCGTCAGCGCCTGACCGGCCGCCAAGATTTCCGTTCCTGACTGTATCGGACTCTCGGTAGAGCACCACCCTTGAGCGCACAAATTGCGTCGCAGGGACACCGCCCAATGTGTTCGCATTGAGGCTGGCCAGGTCTGCAGTTTTTGCGTAGACGCTCAAATCGATGGCTGCCAGGGTGGTGTTGAGCGCTGCTATATTCTGGGCTGTGCGCGTGTCCGTTGCTGCAAGGGCAGCAAACTGCTGGGCGACAACGGCTGTGTTGGCGGCGTTGCTGACATTAGCCCTCAGCTCCTGAAGTTGGGCGGTCAGCGCCGCGACCGCCGCACGGAGTGCGTCGACCTCAGCACGCAGCGCCACAGTCTGGTTGCCAAGAGTGGCCTGTGCAGAGCTGGCCTGGGCGGCGGCAGCGCTGACCCTGGGCTCGAGGGCTGCCAGGTCGCTGGACACCTTGTTGACCTGGGCGGCGGTGGCCACGCCGCAGCCGTAGTGCAGTATGGTGGGGTCCTGCGGGAGTGGGGAGTGGTGCAACCAACGTGAGGGTGCGTGGTGACAGAGGTGGTGCGAGAAAAGCACGATTCTCAAGAGCGGCCGCTGCTGCCAACACAGGGGAGTAGACTGCTGCAACTGGATGTCGTTTGCGTGTAGATTGCTGCGAGCTGCTGATGGATTCACAAACGCAGCAACCATGCACTACACGTGTTGTTGCCGCCTGCTGTGTGACAGCAACCACGTACACCAGCCACCTGGCAACGCGCAGGATCGCCACACACACGCATGGGCCCATGCTATGTGCCACACGTTCATGCGCGAACCTTGCTGTCAACCGTTGCGTTGGCGGGTGCCAGCAGCTCGCTGCATAGCTGGTCCATGAAAGCTGGGCCGGCCTTGGAGCACCGAGGGAACGTCTTGATCGGCGCGCACTGCGTGAAGAAACACGCAGCGGCGAATCGTTGCTTGTTTTTTGCAGGGTTCTGGCGTCCCAAATGCCAGACTCAAGGAGGGCGGGCAGGGGGCGGGTGGGCATTTTCCTTGTTTTTGTTTCCACGCCATCAGGGCCGTGCTTGACCGCATCCAATATACAACCCAGCCATGCACCCAGGGGATTGCCAGGCCCCCAGGCAGCACTCACTATCCCCAGCTTCGGCTTTTTGGGGGTTGCTTGAGGGCTGCGCGGAATGGCCCAGGCAAAGCAAGGTCAGCGGTAAGCGTCAGTACGGGAGTGATCAAGCGCTTGCGGGCATGCGGTGCGTAGTACAGCAGCAGACAGCAGGAGGTGGACCTCTGGGACTGCCACCGGCAAGGAGTAGTTTGCGGGCCGTGCATGCATTGGCTTTGAAGCAGCTCAATTGGAGGCATGCAGGCCTTTGCATTGTGGTTTTTCCAGCCGGCTGGAACGCCAGCAACTAGTAGCGCGTGGCTGGGCGTCACCAAACGTTGCGTTGACATCAACGGGAAGGCTTCCAAGCTCCTGGAGCTGCTGCTGTACAGCAATGCGACCTGCTTGTCTGCCACTTGCGCGCCATCTGTGGCCTGGGGCTGCACAGCTCCTGTCACAAGGACCAGCCCTCCTCCTTGCCGTTGCCCCCGAGCTGCATGCGCACCTGACGCCCAGCGCCCCGCTCAGCATGCTGGCCAGCAGCAGTACCACCGCAATAGAAGCGAGCCTGCACCGCATGCTGGGCGTGGCGGAAGACCACAGCCGCACTGCTGCGAGTGACGAAATGTTGGTCGATGAGACTCGCGCTGCACGCCACGGGGGTTCCCTTTACTATGATCTATGAGCTTTATTTGGCGTATGACTGCACTTCGAAGCGCAGAGCAGTTGAGAGGCATGCGCTGCGACAGGAGGTCCAGACCACGTCGACGCGAAGGTGGCTTTGCTCATCAACAACGAGCGACCCTGCGCGACCCGTCTGATGTTGCGTTACTCGTGAGCTTGGCGAGCTTAAAGAGCTCACCAGGGCCCGTTTGTTACAGGGCCCGTTTGTTACAGGGCCCGTTACAGGGCCCGTTTGTGGGCGAGGGGGCTGTGGCGGAACCCGTCGACTGGGTAGTAATCGAGCCGTGGCCCGGCAGGCCACCGTCCCACACCCACAGCAGTGGCAGGTCGGTGGCTGACAGGCCAACCCCAGTGCAGGCGAGGCTGCTACTATAGCTGCCGCTCGTGATTATTTAAAAGAGGCCGAAAGCAAAAAAATGCGATCGCCGCGACAAAGCCGCGGCAAAGCTGCGGCGGCTTGTTGCAACCAAACCGCCCCGCCAGACAAGCCCCCCTTGGAAAGTGGTGCGAACAGCACGCGCCTAGCCACTGTGCTAACCTTCGGAAAATGCAGTGCCTTCACCTGTGTTAATGTTACCACAAGGTTTGTCATCAAGGACGAGGGTTCATTTTGATGTTTTAATCTGGGAGGCTGTTGTTGGGTCCACACGCGTCACAGCAGTTCACAGCTGAAACACTGTCCTTGGGAGGCTGGTGCTAAAAAATGCAAAAAAAACTCCTCAAATGCTACGCTGCCTGTGGGTGTCAGTGCCACAAATAAATGCATGCGCAGGGTGAAACCCCAACCACTACCACACGCAGAGGTCACTGCTGATGCCTCACTGAAATTGTTTTGAAGGGGGAGGTGTGCAAAGGAAAGAAACTGGCAGTTCTTCTATTACCATCAACACATGTTGTACAGCACGCGTTATTGTTGAGTTAGCAATTCTCTTCTCTATCTGCATCCGCCGCAGTCGTCTACACGCTGGTTTTGCTGGTTGGTGTCGTGGTTGTCGCTGACATCACGTTCGAATGACACACACACACACACACACACACACACTCACACACACACACACACACACACACACATACGGGCTAGGTTCGGTATATGTGGGTCTGACGCGCGCGCATGCGCGCGCGTGTGGGTCTGGAAAAGGAAGGGGGGAAGGGGAAAAAATGTGTTGCGGGCGCCTTCGGCGCCCGCCGCTGCCTCTGGGCGCCTGCGGCGCCCAGGCAAGGTGGTTGTGTCAGTTGGCACCGCAGGCGCCAAAGTACACACTAGATAGTCACAGGAAGGTCAATGGAAAAGATAGATGTTGAGAAAGGATAGTGTGCATGCACGGCGTGATTACTACTCAAAGTTGTGGGGAGTGCACATAATGGTTTGGGGCGCTTGTCAGGTGCTCCCTGCCCAGACGCGCGCCGCCTCCTCGCGCAGCAGCTCCTTCGTCATCAGCCTGGCTGATGCCGGTGCAGGCGCGGCGCAGTGCGCCGCGGGTGGAGCCAACAAGGGTGCCATCATGCTGGCTGGTGCGGGCTGCTGGCTGCCACCTGTTGCGGCTGGCGCGTCCACCTGCTGCTCCTGCAGCTGCTGCTGCTACAGCAGCTTATTTTGCAGCTGCTGCCCCCGCTGCTGCCACTGCTGCTGCTCCTGCTGCTGCTGCTGCTGCTGCTGCTGCTGCTGCTGCTGCTGCTGCCGCCGTCGCTGCTGCCGCTGCTGCTCCTCCTCCCCCTGCTGCTGCTGTGGCTGCTGCTGCTGCTTGTCCTCCCCTTGCTCCTGCTGCTGCTGCCGCTGCCGCTGCTGCTGCCGCTGCCGCTGCTGTAGCTGCTGCTGCTGATGCTGATGCTGCTGCTGATGCTGCTGCTGCTGCTGCTGCTGCTGCTGCTGCTGCTGCTGCCTCCATCCCTGCACTGCTGCATTTGCTGCAGCTGCTGGCGGCAGGGCCCCTTGCCGGGCAAGCGCCAGCAATGGGGGCGGTTGCAGTGGCACGGGCGTGGCCGCCGCGAGCTGCGTGTGCAACGGGGCGTTGGCGACACGTTGTCATCCGCGATGCTATACGGGACCAGGGATCGTGCCAGCGCCGAGCCATCCTTACTGATTCACACGAAGGCATGCATAGCCTTCTGAGAAGCCCCACCTTGTGGGGTGCGGGTGGGGAGAGGGAGGGCGAGAGGGGGGGGGGGGTAAGCCGGCCTCCGGTCGTCAACATGTTGCCCCACATGATATCCCCGCCGCCCCTTCCCCAGCAATAGTCTTGATGCCCCCGCCCCAAAGCCTGACCTCCAGTCATACGGCCCACCGCGCCGTGCCTAACAGCCTCACCGCGCCTGCACAAATGCCGGCAGCTGCTCCAGTATAGCGTGGTCATAGGCCCCATATCTAAGGATATTTAGGCAGGCCTGGCCAGCATCTCCCCCTGCTGCTACTGTTTGAGCTGCTCACGAGCCTGGCAGCTGCGCCACGGGCCGGCGAGCGCTGCCGTTGCCACTGCGCCGCCGCCGCCCGGGCCCATGGCAGACGCACGACTGCCGACTGCGCCGCCGCTGCTGCCGCCTCCACCCTCCTTGTCGGCCGCGGCTGGTGCAGCTTGCCAACGCCGCTCCCGACCTCGCTGGGATTGTATGTAAGGCTGGCTCATAGCCCCGCGTTGAGGGGTGGGGGTGAGGGAGGTTGTGTTGGTTGGGGATAACTGGCGGTGGGTGGCAGGGTGGAAGGGGTGGTGAGGAGCATGTGCGCCGCCCGCCAGCGTGCACAGACGCGCATGTTGAAAAGCTGCCCGTGCCTGCCCCCTCAACCACCCCCCCCTACAAAGCAACCACCCCGCACCTGGGCAGTTGCTGCACTTGGAGCGCTCCCCAGTCCTCGATTTGATCGCAGGATCAAATATCCCGCGACCACAGAAGGAAAGCTAGTACGCTAGCTATGTACCTGCCTGTCTGCATGGCTGCCGTTGCTTCGGCGCCACGCGCCCCTGTGCTGTGGCAATACCGCTGCTGTGGTGCAGTGGCAGGTGCAGTCAGTAACTCTGTGGCAGTGCTGCCAACAAAGTGGCCGTTTGCCCGGGGACACCCACCTAGACGCTTCATGAGGTAATTTGTATGTTTCAGCGCATTCACGCACGCGCGGGGAGCTGGATGTGCCGTTCCCGCAATGCCCAGCAATTTGCAGCAATACGTCGTAGCCCACGGGGGCGTCTTGTGGGGTGTGTAAACGGCTCAAGTTATACAAAATCAATTAATGAAATTGATTGCGGAGGACGCCGGGTGTTCCATCGCATCTAGCAGGCGCACGAGCACGCGCAAGAGGTTGGCCCCGCGGAGCCCGCGAGCTAAGTTCGCGGGCAGCCCCGTAACCGGGCGTCCAGCGCCCCTGAATTGCTTGAGAAGATTGCTATAGTTATCTATCTCGGCGCAGTTGGCCGCTCATCCCCTGTATCAGCCGCCTTGGGCGCCTGCCGCAGACCCACACACACGCGAACACCCCCCCCCACACACACACACAAACACACACACACACACAAACACGATGATGCGTGGCTGATACGCTCTATTATACAACCTTTCCAGCCGTTGTTAAGGGGGGGGAGGGGTGCGACGTACAGGCTGGCGGGGGCTGGGGGGCGGCGCAATCAGGGTGTGTTTGACGTTTGCAGGTAGTACAGGTTCGCTCATACTCTCTCCAATGGCCGGTATGAGTGTTGTAAACTTTTGGGTACGATAAGGGGGTGCCTGAAGTACATTCATCATGTTTTACCATGGCACAGCCAACGTTCCCAAACACCACCCAGTGCCACCCAGTGCCTCTTGCAGAAAAAGCGGGTGAGACGGCATGCTTTGCTGCTCTGCTGTGTCCACTTGCGATGACGCCCCACAATCAAATCATGTAGCGTGGCCAGCTGCAAAGCAAGCATCAAGTATGCACCTCGGGGCAGAGGACAGCGAGTCCTGACAGTGAGTAAGTCCCTGCAAAGGTGTGACCAACGAGCACAGATTTGAATAAAAGCATATGCGGCTGATTTCGTTCATTTGAGCACAAGCCACCCGCCGGGCGGTGAGGGTGATCTGTAATGGATGGCGCTATTCGCCAGTCCACCCCGCTGATGACCCGGTGGACGCTGGTGTTGCTAGCCCTGGCCGGCCTTTCGGCCGCGTTGGACCCTCGCGAGCGGTCGGCTGCGTTCATAGGCTGGAATGAGGGGACCGACGCGCCGGATGCGCGCTTGGCGGCGTGCCGCGACCGCCGGGAGTCCTGCGAGGCTGACGCCAGCAGCAACCAGTGCCTCACCAATCCGTACGTCATGAGGCGCGTCTGCCCGATCAGCTGCAACGTCGCGCCGTGCGCAGCAACGGGCACTGCCGGGCAGGTGAGCATGCGAGCGAAGCGCCGCATGCGAAGCCTGCAAGGCTTTGATGGACAGCGGGCCGCCGCGCCGGCTGCGCATGAGCGCCATGCAGCCAGCCGCATGGCACCGCGCCCCCCAGCGAGGCATCGGCTGCAGGCCGCCATGCGCCTCCCACGACCCCCGCATGGCGGCCGCATGGCGACGCATGGCGCCCCCTCTTGCCGTTGGCCCATGCGGCGCCTGCAGGCGCCGTTCCGTCACGCGGGCCATGCCACCGCCGATGGCACCTGGGCCTTTGGGGACGCATTTCGGGCGGACAAGTCGGACAAGGGGGTGGCGCAGGACCATTACAATGCAGTGTATTACATGGAGGGAAAGCAGGGTGAGGAGCCATGGAAGTGGGGGCTGCATGGGGAGGGTGCGGCAGTTGCAAAGCGTCCAGGGCGGGACGACGGCGGTGTGGGTGGGAAGAGCGGGGACGGCTCTGCCGGCGCACGGCGGCCGGAGGCAAGGCGCCGGGCCGCCGCGCAGCGCGAACCTTGAGCAGCGACTGCAGCGGCGCCATGGGAGCGGTGCCGGGAAGCCGCGGGGCACAGCAGCAGGCCGGGGCCGTCAGTGCAGGGTGCTGCCCGCATCGAGGGCGGAGCTGAAGCACGTGATGCGGCCGACCACTGAAACGTGCGGCGTGGCCGCAGGCGAGGACACTCTGCTGATCAGCAGCCTGGGCGTGGGCACCTACATGGGCACGCCAGACGCGGCCACCGACGAGGCGCAGCTGTGCGCGCTGGTGTACTCGGTGACGCGCGGCTGGAACCTCATTGACACGGGTGGGCGGACGTCGCTATTGCGGGCGGGGCCCACGCCGCGGACTGTGCGGCACCACTCGGACTTTGTGGCGTGGGCGGCGAGGGTTGACCGCGCGTGAGGGGTGCGCACTGGGGCCGTGCTCGTGCTCGCGGCGCAGGCTTGCTGCGGCTGCCAGGGGTTCCCGAGGGTGCCTCCGGGCACGCTTTGTTTGCCCGTGTCGCACCCGGCTTTGCTGTGCAACTGCGGCCGCTCACGCCGTCGCGTGGCGACTTGCGCGCTCCGCCCCCGCAGCCAGCAACTACCGAAACGGCCGGTCAGAGCAGACGGTCGGCCGCGCGCTGTCGCTGCTGCTGTCCGGCGCCCGCATGGGTGATTTCAGGGGCGGCCAGGTCACCGCGACCCGCGACGCGCTGTTCGTGTCGACCAAGGCGGGGTACGTCGACGCGGACCTGCGCCGGCGCGCGGCGGCGACGCCCTTCCTCCGGAAAGACCCGCCGCTTGGGGCTGGCGGCGCCGCGGGAGTCGGCGCGGGCGGCGGCGGTGCGGCGGGCGGCGGGGCGCAGAACCCTGCGGCGGCGGGCGCGGGGGCGGGGGCGCGGCTCGCGGGCCAAAACGCGCGGCGGCTGGCGCGGTGGCTTCAGCAGGCGGGGCTGGGCCAAAACGGGCTGGGAGGCGTCGGCGGCGGTGGCGGCGGAGGCGCCACCCTCGGGCGCAAGGCGGCGGTGCCGGCCGGTGGTGCCGCTGGTGGCACAGCGGCGGCGGCGGCGGCGGCGGCGGCGGCGGCGGCGGCGGCAGCAGCAGCGGCACCCAGTGCGGCTGGGCAGAATGCAGCGGCGGCGGTGCTGCACTTGCAGCCTGACGAGGTGAGGCCGCGGCCAGGCGGGTTGAAAACGTTTGTATTTTTCAGAGGGGACACAGGGCCGTGCGCCTGGCTAGGGTCTTCCAATGCCGCGCCTCGCCTTCCTCAGCACATCACATGACCACACACACAGATACACACACGCCCGCACGCACGCATGCACGCTTACACACACACACACACACACACACACATTCACACCACATAACACAACACACCACAACACTACACCAAATACACACACCATACACAACACAACGTCAACCCCCCAGATCGGGGACTACTGCATCCACCCGGCCTGCATCCGCGCCTCGGTGGAGCGCAGCCTCGAGCGCCTGCGCCTCGAAACGGTGGGGCGGCGCCCCTGCATCGAAAGCGCCGCACTCGCCATATGCTCGCAGTCGCATCAGCCAACGCACGGCCCGCGGTCAACGCGCGTGTGCTGCGCCTTAGTGCCCTGCCCGCCGGCGGCGCCGCCGCTGCCGCCGCGCTTGCAGTCGCGCCCCCGCGCCCAACCGCGTGTGACGCCGCGTGACGTCACCCCGCGCCAGGTGGACCTGCTGTACCTGCACAACGTGGCGGAGGAGCTGCTGCCGCGCGGCGTCGGCAGGGGCCAGCTGGAGGCGGCGCTGGAGGCGGCCTTTGGGGAGCTGGAGGCCCTCAGGAGGTGGGGTTTACGGCGCCCGGGGTTTAGGGCGCCTGGAGTGGAGGGTGCCCGGGGTTTCCACACTTGCCGGGATTTTGTACGGCTCTGGGGTCAGGACTCAGGGTTTCACGGCTTCGGGCGTCCTATTCCGGGGAATCGCTCCGTCGGTAGCTCAGCGCTGCTGCCTGCTTGCCAAGAGGTGGTGCCCTCACGTCACGTTCCGCTCATTTCGTCCCCCGTGGCAGGGAGAACAAGGTGCGGGGCTACGGCCTCGCCACCTGGAGTTCCTTGAGGGTGCCGCCAGACGGGGACCAGGTGGGCCGCCCGCGGCTCCTGGCCACCCGCCATTCGGCCGGCAGCGCTGCGGTCACCGGGCCCAGGTCATTCGATGGCGTGGGCGAAAATCACAAAGCAGCTGGTGCAACAATCCCGACATATTTTGGGTGGTGGTGCTCTGCTGCAGTCGGAGGATCAAAAGCTGCCGCCGTTTGCATTGTGGCCGTCATGTGTGTGTTTGTATGACGGCACTGTAACTAATGACTCCCTTGCTCCCCTCCCCGCGCCGCCGCCCTGGGGGCGCCGCCGCAGTTTTTGTCGCTCGAGTGGGTCCTTTCCGTCGCGAAGCGCGCCGGCGGCGCGTCCCACGGCTTCATGGCCGTCCAGCTGCCGCTCAGCGCGCGCGCTGACGAGGCGTTCACCCAGAAGTGGCAGCCCGTGGCCGTCCTCAGGGGGTCCAGCCTCTACCCCGCCAGCCCCCCGCCGCCGCCGCCCGCGGCCGCGGCCGCGGCCGCGCCGCCGCCCGCGGG